GGGGATAATTATTTAGAAAAACACAATTCGAGGCCAAATTCTGTGGGTTGTCCACAACGTTTTTTCCAGGATTGTACGTGTCCGTTGCGGTGCATTCTCAGTGTACGTAAATTCATGATCAAAGTTACTATGTGTATAAGAGCGTTCTGGTAAATAGGTGTGGATTCCTTAAATGTTTGTTCGTCCGATGAGAGAAGTGCAATGCGTTTGTTGATAGCTGTAGGTAATTGTCTTGTAATGCTCGGTGGATGGTTTGAGTGTCTGTGGATGTACAATGGATCGTCATTGGGTTTCCTGTATGGTTTGTGGTTTGCGTTGATCAGGTCGAAAGTAACATCTAAAAAATTTACAACGTTCATATTTACTTCGGCGGTGATTTTAAGGTCAAATTGCTCGAAAATTTTGTGTAGCTCTTTTCTAGTTTTGTCTAGTAAACGGGCGGATTTGCTTTTTATAATAGCCAAACCATCATCTCTATAAAGTCCGATGTTTTCCTTGCCAAACCTCTTACCTAAGTGATTTAAAATGAAAAGGCCTACCAGCTCACAAATTTCAGCGCCGTCGAAACTACCCATAGTGACGTCAAATAAACTGTTGCTTCCGTCTTTTTTTGTCCATAATTTGCCGTTGCCGAAAAGTAGAGATTTTCTTGCATGTTTTATTATTGAAATATCGTTTTCGGTGATAGTAGTCAAATCCGAAGCCCAGGCCAATGCTTCGTTTAAAAGTTTTTCGGAAATGGATGGGTAAAAATCCACAATGTCAAACGAAATAAAACTATGCCTGTCTTTATCGTTTATATTGCCAAACCATGAAATTACCTGTTGCGTATTTCTCCATTGATTTGAATTTAGTTTTTGTCTCAAATTGGAATTAATTTTATCTAAAATAACCTTAATTAGTTTTCCGGATTCGCTTTTTGCGGGATTAATTAGTCGGCATTTTGGATTGTTTTCGAAATTTTCTTTGTGATCTTTTAAAGATATAAATGCTTCGCGTTTTTTCATTCGTTCAATTCTGTCGCCAATTCCTAACCTACTCGAAATTTCTTCAATTCGGAGTCAATTTCATGTATGAAGTCCTCTGATCCATGTTTGTACGTTTTCGTGATGTTATCATGTAAGAGTTCGTTGTATGTGTTCAGTGACGTTTCGTAAATGTTTCTAGTTTTGTCCGCGAAAATGAAAATGTTGGGGGATGAATTAATTTTCTTCAAATCGTTAGCCAAAGATGTCTGAAATTGGTCTTTAGGACGCCGGAATTTTACGTTTTCAATTAGTTTTATCAAGTCGTCTTCGAAAGGTTTCAAAAGTGGAATTGAGGGAGGCGATTTGTTAGACGAAAGGCCGAAAAGGTTGCTTTGGTTTTGAGTCGTTGATCCTTTTAGGAAGAAGTTAGCTTTCCATCTCATACGTTTTGTTACGCTCTCCACTTTTTCAATCAAATTCTTTAGGTAAGCATCCTGTGATGGTATAGGAATATTCTTTAGTGAATAATCGAATCGAAATTGTCGCATGTTTGAAGTAGAAATAAACTGAATAACGTAGACAAGAGTGCACAACCGATTACCGGGTGCAAATATAGCTTAAGATTTTGGTTTACGAAACACAAACAGTGCTCAATACCATATAGATAGAGCGTAATTTAGGAATTGGCAACAGAATTGAACGAATGAAAAAACGCGAAGCATTTATATCTTTAAAAGATCACAAAGAAAATTTCGAAAACAATCCAAAATGCCGACTAATTAATCCCGCAAAAAGCGAATCCGGAAAACTAAGTAAGGTTATTTTAGATAAATTTAATTCCAATTTGAGACAAAAACTAAATTCAAATCAATGGAGAAATACGCAACAAGTAATTTCATGGTTTGGCAATATAAACGATAAAGACAGGCACAGTTTTATTTCATTTGATATTGTGGATTTTTACCCATCTATTTCCGAAAAACTTTTAAATGAAGCATTGGCCTGGGCTTCGGATTTGACTACTATTACCGAAAACGATATTTCAATAATAAAGCATGCAAGAAAATCTCTACTTTTCGGCAACGGCAAATTATGGACAAAAAAAGACGGAAGCAACAGTTTATTTGACGTCACTATGGGTAGTTTCGACGGCGCTGAAATTTGTGAGCTGGTAGGCCTTTTCATTTTAAATCACTTAGATAAGAGGTTTGGCAAGGAAAACATCGGACTTTATAGAGATGATGGTTTGGCTATTATAAAAAGCAAATCCGCCCGTTTACTAGACAAAACTAGAAAAGAGCTACACAAAATTTTCGAGCAATTTAACCTTAAAATCACCGCCGAAGTAAATATGAACGTTGTAAATTTTTTAGATGTTACTTTCGACCTGATCAACGCAAAACACAAACCATACAGGAAACCCAATGACGATCCATTGTACATCCACAGACACTGAAACCATCCACCAAACATTACAAGACAATTACCTACAGCTATCCACAAACGCATTGCACTTCTCTCATCGGACGAACAAACATTTAAGGAATCCACACCTATTTACCAGAACGCTCTTACACATAGTAACTTTGATCATGAATTTACGTACACTGAGAATGCACCGCAACGGACCCGTAGGAATAGGCAACGCAACATAATTTGGTTCAACCCACCATTTAGTAAGAGCGTTAGCACGAACATAGGACGGGAATTCTTAAGTTTAATTGACAAACACTTCCCGCTACAGCACAAACTACACAAGATTTTTAACAGAAACACTTTAAAAGTAAGCTACAGTTGCATGAACAACGTTAAGTCTATAATCACCAAACACAACGCACATATAATTAGGAACAGTCATTCACAGAATACGGAAACTGACAACTGTAACTGCGACAACAAAAACACTTGCCCACTACCGAAACAATGCATGACCAACAACATTATTTACAAAGCAACAGTTACAACGAACAACACGAACGACACTAAACACTACATTGGTATGACAGCGACTACATTTAAGGAACGTTACGCTAACCACGCTTCATCTTTTCGTCATAAAAAAGACTCAAACAAAACGGAACTTTCGAAACATATTTGGAAATTAAAAGAAAACAATCAGGATTATACCATCAAATGGTCAATTTTAAAACACGCTATTTCATACACAGGGGGATCAAAACGCTGCAATTTATGTTTGGAAGAAAAATTTTGCATTTTGAAAGACATAAACAAAGACAATTTACTCAATAAAAGAAGCGAAATTTTCGGCAAATGTCGTCACAAAAACCGGTTTCGAGTAAACAAGGTCGTTAACAAAACCTAATGACCCAAGCATGCATTGTTTCACCTAAGCATTGTTTCGCCTACACGCATTCCGCACATTCTTTCGATAGCATAAAAGTAACCTACAATTTCGAAATTATTCACCACCTGATGATTCCTATACGGATGAAACAGACTGTTGTGGTTTTTTGAGGTAAAACGAAAACTATATTACGCTCTATCTATATATGGTATTGAGCACTGTTTGTGTTTCGTAAACCAAAATCTTAAGCTATATATATATATATATATATATGTATATATATGTATATATATATATATATATATATATATATATATATATATATATATATATATATATATATATATATATATATATATATATATATATATATAAACAATTTCCTCAGTAAGTTGAATTCATTTCATGAGAATATTGAGTTTACCTGGGAAATTAGTACACAGGAAATTGCTTTTCTTGATGTGTGGATTAATAAAGTTAATGGTGCGTTCCATACTGATGTGTATTCTAAGCCTACTGATGCACATCAGTATTTGAATTTTAAATCTTGTCACCCACCACATGTCAAGAGAGCGATTCCCTACAGTCAAGGTTTGCGCTTAAAGCGAATTTGTAACTCGGAAAATGCTTTTGAGGAAAAACTAAGCGAGCTAAAAGGTTTTTTGGTCAAGAGGGGCTATAATTCGGATTTTGTTGATGACCAGTTTGGTAGAGTGAGAAAAGTCGACAGGAATAATTTGTTAATGCGGAAAGAAGGTGTTAAGAATAGTAATAGGAATTGTTTTGTGATAGATTATCATCCAGCATTGAGGGTCCTTTACAATATCTTTAGGGAATTGCAAGTAATTGTAAGTTGGTCTGAAAGGGTTTTAAGTATTATGCCAGAACCACCAATGGTGTGTTTTCGTCGGTCTAAAAACCTTAAAGATCACTTAGTCCGTTCTAAATTGAGAAGGGAAGAGGAAACGGTCGTAGGGATGTTTAAGTGCGGAAAGAAGAAATGTAAAATCTGTGATAATGTTATTATTGGTGCTACTTTTAAAAGCCATGTTGAGGGGCGGTCTTTCTGCATTAATCATCGCTTCGATTGTGACTCTGAGGGTATAGTATATTTGATTAGTTGTAAATTCTGTGGGTTGCAATATGTGGGGAATACCATAACGCCGTTCAGATTGCGATTTAATAACCACAAAAGTGCATTAAATAGATATGGGCGGGGACAGAGAAATATTTGTGGGCAACAATTGTATGCCCATTTTTGGGGGGAGGGACATTCAGGTCTAAGTGATTTTTTAGTGCAGGTTATTGACGTCACGGACGTTAATAACCCCACTGAGAGGGAGAGATTTTGGATTGGGAAACTAAATAGTTATGTCCCACGTGGGCTTAATTTAAGGGAAGAGGTTTAATTAATTTATGCATAGCTAAACGTTAGACTATTTAAGCAAGAGACGGAGATGATGTAGCGTTATTCTGAAGAAGGGGCTTGTCCCCGAAACGTAAAAATATAATTTATTTACTTTGAAGATTTATGATTTCTTGATATTTATATATATATATATATATATATATATATATATATATATATATATATATATATATATATATATATATATATATATATATATATATATATATATATATATATATATATATATATATATATATATATATATATACGTCGTCTTACCACTGCTTTATTTTATAAACACAAATTGGGGAAACGTATGATTGAAATTTTCGTTTTCAGTGAAATCGTCGATAAAATAGACAAAGATGGTAATGACAATGTAACTAAGACAGAATTGAGATCTTGGATGGAATATATTCAACTGAAATATTTGAGAGATGAGGTGGATAAACGTTGGTCTCCGATTGACACTGATGGCGATGGAATGATATCTTGGGACGAATTCAAAGAAAGACATTATGGTCATAAAATGGGTGAGAAATTATGCAATTTCAACTGAGCCATAGTCTTTGTGCGCGTGCAATGATTGAGTGATTATTAGAGAGGTTAAGATACTCCGGTTCCGGTTTACGGGTACGAGTATCGCCATTTTGTTAACCAATTTCTGCTGATGTCAGCATTTTTACCCGTAATTTCTACCCGTTTCCCCGCGGTAAACCATGGTCTACACGTAAAAGACAAACGGGTACGGGTGTTTTCTGTTTACTATTTGTGGGCCGTTTAAATAGTAAAAGTTTTCAACATCTTACCCAAATAAATAATGCATATATGCTAGTCAAAGTTTTCAACAATTTATGGCGAACTTTAATAGCGAAAGTTACCATTCTCTGATTGGTTTACTCACGCCGAAATATCTTGGATTTCTTAAGTTACAAGTCGTTCCCCGGTTTACGGGTACGGGTACGTGTATATCACCCGTACCCGTAAAGCGGAACCGGGGTATCTTAACCTCTCTATTATAATAATTCGATGCATGAGCATTCTTTACGTATCTAATCATTAACTTGGACAATCCTTGCATGGTATGATTTTTTGTACATGAAATGATTTTATTACGCAAATTTATACACATTTTAGACCAAACCACTGGGAGTCCATTGGTATAATTTTTTCCAGACCGCAGGCTATATTTTTCGCCTCTGCCCCTTCGTTAATTCATAGCCTGTCGAAGGGAAGATGGCTATGAAGCTGTTTAGAGTAACAATATTAACTCATTATCTAATATATTAGTACACGTTTATTCATAAATCTGGTCCTTCACCGTCACATGTGTATTGTATTTTAACTAACCAATAGCAATGCTTCAGGAAAGTTACCTATCCGTGACTCGAACAATAAGGAAATTGGAAATTGCTATTTGTGGATTTGGCAAAAATACAATACACACGCACTTGACGGTGAAGGACCAGATTTATGAATAAACGTTGACTAAAATAGATAATGAGTTATATTTTTATTTTAATGAGTTTCACAGCCATCTTTCCTTTGACAGGCTATATATTTATATCGAAAATTATATATACAAAATTAGTTCTATTGAACGAGATGCCCAAAAATTTCAATATTTAGCCGGCTTGCACCTATTACTGGCATCATTAGATATGCTTGAATATGTGGTTAATACTGTAGGCTAGACTTTCCAGTTTCACTTCTTGATTGAGATCATGGCGAGTCCTGAAATGCGTGATTTCAACTGTATATACCAACTCGATTGTCAAGTATTTTACTCGTATAAATCTCAAATTCTCAATGTTTGTACTGTATAACATAATCTCGAACTATAGACGACGGACCACCTGGTTTATCGGCGTTTTGAGATACACAAATGTTTTTCAGAGTGTAGTTTTAGATTCGTCCGCACTGTTAAAAACTGATTTGTTAAGACCTATACATTTTTCTCCACGTTCCTCCATAATGCAAGAAATTACGTTTTAGTGACCCTGGTTTTGTTCCCTGGGGAACACGTCTCCGAGTATCCGACTCCTTTCGAACTGGGACATCACAATTATTAAGCGCCTCCACCCCCCAAAAGAAAAAATCCTGGCGGTGCCATTGGAGATAAAAGGTGTACATAAAAAGTAAAGCACTTTAATTCAAGAGCCCCTATATACGTTTCACATTGAAACGTGATTGATGATTAATGATTTTGGTGATCGATGATTCTTTTGATTGCGTGCAATTGAGCGTGAACCTGGAAAACGTTTTAGCGACAATTCGAGATCGATGAGCAGACGAAATAATTTTGCGTGAACACTGTGCGTTTTGTGAAGGAATCTCGAACAATCTGTGAGAAAAAAAGGTGCGGCTTGCGAGAGATAATTGTATCTGAAAAATACAAGCAGAACGTCGACATTTCAAGCAAAGTTCTTTTCGAAGTTCTGCTTGTATTTGTCTGGTAGTTGTATCCCTAGCAATTCTCTTTTTGTGAAGAAGAGTTTATTTTACAAGTAACATGACTCGCAGTTAACAGTGGCGGCGCCAGGCTTCCAAATTTGGGGGGGGGCATTTGAGGGGCAAACTCAAATTTTGGGGGGGCAAGATAGAATTTTTAAAAAGGTCGCCCCTCCCAGGAAATTCGCCCCCCCCCCCCTCAAAACGTGGCGATATTCCTAGGAATATCGCCCCCGGAGGCGAATATCCTAGGAATATCGCCTCCCACGAGGGTGGGGCGAATACCCTAGGAATATCGCTCCTCTTTAGGACATTCGCCCCCCCCCCCCCATATATGCGATGTGGTTTATTCAAATAATTTCGTGATACTTTCATCTTATTATTGCCTTACACGTTTGAAAATTTAACTCTTCAAAACTAAAGCTTTTTTGTCTTTTTTTGAAACGTATTATTGGAGTATTGGCAAGTTTTACCATTCAGAGATTTACAAACTAATATTGAAACTGTAAAAAACAGTTTCATGTATACGCGAATTCACTGATGAGTAATGACAACTTATAAGCCATACATTTTCCGATAACGACAGAACGCTTGTGTAGCCTTTAGTCGCTCTTAGTGACTAATAATTTTTTTTGAGGGGTGGGGGCAAAATGGGGGGGGGGCAAAAAATAATATTGATATTTATTGCAGAATTTTGTTTTCAGACTACGATCACCGGAATGAAGACGAACAATACAGGAAGAAACGAGAACTGGACAAGAAGAAATGGCACGCTGCAGACTCCAACCAAGACAATAAGTTAACTAAAGATGAATATTCTGCTTATCTACATCCCAGTGAATACAGGAGGATGCATGAAGTCGCTGCCGAAGAAGTATTAAAAGGAGTAGATAAGGATAAAGATGGATATCTTTCTCTTGAAGAATATATTGGTAAATCATTTCTTTTTTGACACTTTGCCGACCAGGAACGACTAAACTAGGAAAATGAGTTTTACGTTCTCCGAATTTTTAATTTGCCATTTCATATACACCCGGAGAAAACCCATGACTTTCGGCAGAGCATTGACTGACTCTTTTCACGTGAGTCCAGTGGTGTAACGTAGGAAGAGGGGGCCCTTAGGCATATTTGGTGTGGGGCCCCCTGTTGACTGTTGTCATTGTTTGACTGAGATATTATTTTTATATTGAATACTTATAGAATGCTCTGGAAAATTCCGTGTCTATAACATAACAATAACAGTCTCCAACTCATGTAACAACTAATAAGAATAAATTAACTTTTATTTTATTTGAGATGGAATAAAAAAATCAGCTAGCTACCGCTGTCGATGGAGGCTTTATTATTTAGCATTACTAATTTTGTATTTTCCCATTTATTCTTAACCTGCATTTTTTACGTTTACTAATTTTCTGGGGCTCTGGGCGATAGGCCGTGGCTGCATGATGGGGGCCCCTAACTGTCGGGGGCCCTTAGTTTTTTAACTAACCCTACCCAATGAGCGTTACGCCACTGCATGAATCCGTAGTGAGAATTGAGGCCATGCAGAAAGCCAGTGGTGAAAGGCGCTTGTTCTGACGTCAATATCGAATCTTGAGTTTCCTCAACATGCTCTGTTTCCTGTTTCTCAAAGGTGATTATGATGAACCAAAACCAGAATGGCTGGACGCAGAAAGGGAGATTTTTCGCAAGGAAAGAGATAAAGACGGTGATGGAAAACTAAATAAGGCAAGGATCACAACTTGAGGCATAAAAGTAGCCAGAAGTGCGGTGGGAGGGGGGGGGAGCTTTTTGCTTGGGGCAAACTCAGACCTTACAACTCATTTGCTGACGGAAAAAACTGTGCATGTACATACTATAAAAAAATTGTATAGAAATTTCATGCACTTTTTTACGGAATAACATTACGTTTATATTTGCTGAAAGTATTAACCGGCAAAGCATTTGCAAGTTATATTTTCATATACTTTGCGTTTTAAATTTTTATCTTCATATGCTTTTAGTGGTGTGGCTTGTTTCGTAAATAATTAGAATAGCTAGCTGTTAATAGATGCTTTAAAATAATCAAAACTCTACAAAATGCCAAAAACCGTTCTATGTTTTAAAAAGTTGTTGTCTGGTTTTTGGTTACAGGTTAACTAAACTGTATGCATGAATAACAAAACTTCGCTTACTATCAGGGATGCAACTACTTGAAAAATACAAGGAGAATTTCTACGTTTCGAGCAAAGGTCTTTAAGGCTGATTTCCACTGTTGCGTTTTACATACGTACGTATACGCACGTAAAACTTTAAATCCGTTTAAATGTTACTTATGAAATAACCAAATAAATAAAGCAACAGAATTTAGTGTTCGGCAAGTTTTGGTATGCATTTGTTAACTAATTTGTAAAATATTTAAAAATAGTAGGATTCAAAGCTTTACGTGCGTGTACGTGCGTACGAAAAACGCAACAGTGGAAATCAGCCTTTTATCGGCTTCTACTGTAACTTCCCGACCGGTTCTTTGCTCGAAGTTCTCCTTGTATTTTTCAGGTAGTTGTATCCCTATCAATCCAAAGTTTTCTTATTATTCACACTACCTACACTGGCACAGACCATTCAACATTATATTCATGAATACTCTGCAAGTCCTATATAGCGGCCTATATGTTTCAATGACTGACCAAATTATTGTTGAACCAAATCATAGTAAAAATGCTTCGGCTCGCCTCCTAAGTGTTTTCTTGCCTTGACTGGAAAAACTGGCTACGTCTCTGACGTAGTGTAGGAGAAAAACAACTCTATCGGTAACTATAAAAATACAGTATACCCCTGATTCAATTATGAAGACAAGTTATAAATGTTGAAAATTTGGGAACTCCGGGTCTTGCAAGTGAACGTGGTCGTGCGTCACTGTTGTGGAAAAGAGCCAAATCCACCCCAATCGTTCTATGGTCAGGATGGACAATTCACTGCTACTCGCTTAGGGATCATTTTGGCCATTTTCAAGTGTTGTTTTTGTCCTCTTCATTTGACAGTGAATTGAAGTCAGATTTATTACCGGATTAAGTCTTTTTAAGAGATCTATTTTTAAAGTCATTTTCAGGTCAGTTACTTCACTGTAGTAATTTAATGGAAACGACGAACTGAAATCGTCTTACACTTAACAAGCACTGTCTCTGCATTTTTTAGGCGGAAGTGTTAGCATGGCTCTTTCCCGTGAACTATAATCCTCTTGATTCTGAGGCTGGTCATTTATTACATGAGGCTGATGGAAATAAGGTATTTTGTTATATAGCTAGCGTGAACACCAAACGTGATTGGCTGATTTGTGGTCACGTGACTTCAGATAAATGCAATGTTTCCCGCCGGGCAACAAGTGAAAAATTGTTGCCCGCCCCGACCGACCACGTACATAAATAAACAAAATGGAGGCACAACTCAGATAATTAGAAACTACGATTATCCAAGTTTGTGTTCAAATAAAGAATATAAAAGAGAAGAAAAATACACAACAGGCAACAGGATATGCTGCTGAAACCGTTTAAGTAGGTTCTTTTAATTTTAAACTGGTTTACACTATAGAGTTTTCGTCACGAAATACAATTGTTGTATGAATGTTGTTGAAGTTGATTTTTGTTCGTCGCTATATAACAAAACACTTAATGCCTGTTCCCTCGGTAAATAGTTAGTTTTGTTTTCCCTCGAATCCTAATGTTTCCCTCGACTTCGTCTCGGGAAACATTGAGATTCTCGGGAAAACAAAACTAACTATTTCCCTCGGGAGCAGACATTAAGTGTATATTATTAATCCTTTAAATAGAGTATATCATAATATCAATGTTGAAAAGCCCGGTTCAAAAACAATTGGCATGCAGTATTGTGAAATGTGAATTATTGTTTATTATTAAAAGTAACTAAATAACTTTTCACTATAAGATGTCTCCAACTTCGTTTCCAATTTCGCAAATTCGTTGGGATGTTCAAAAGTCCATAATGCAACGAAATTCACCAACTGGTTTCTGATGGCTTGGCTGCTTTTCTCTATTACTAACACCTGCTTGTAAATTTTATTATGAACGTTTATAACACCTGCTTATAAATTTTATTATGAACGTTTGAACGAATTTGTGCAGTTCGGGACGAAGTTGGAATAGTAGCCTCTTTTGCATGGCTACACTCAATCATGAAAATATGTATTTTTGCCTAAAAAGTTGGCGAGCTGGGGAAGGAGTATTTTTCTAACCATATTCTTTAAAAAAAGGGTTCAAAAAATTTTTCCGGACTATGGCAAATAAAAAAAGTCACAAAAATTTTTCCCCATCCATGTCTACTAAAAAAGGGGTCCAAATTTCACAATTTCACCAATTTCTGCTTTTGGGGCCTCACTTTTGCCTGCCCCGGCACTGGACACCCGCCAGTTACACCACTGCGAGGACAATAATTTGCTCTCAGGAAAATACCTATTTTCCCACTTCTCATCTCTTGTATTAGATAGTTGAATAGTTCGATCGAACCGCGGTGCATCACAGAAAACCGACTCAATCATGATATAAGTATGGGTTGTGATTTTTATCATTTCTCTTCTTAATTTAAGGACAAAACTCTTACGAAGCAAGAAATTTTGGATAAGCAAGAATTGTTTGTTAGAAGTAAAGCCACCAACTTTGGCGAGACGCTAAAACGTTCCGTGGATGAACTTTAACTTGCCTTGCATGTGGCCGATCTGACTGAGAGAGGAGACAGTTGTAGCGGTTTGTTTAATAAACATGTTTTTAAATATTAATAGAAAATAAAAAACTCAAACATAGGCTCCTCCATGCTGTTCTATAAACTCGTCTGTGCTATCGTAGGTATAGTGACAAAACCCAAGAAAACTACAGATATACAGTAGATATGAATACAATCACCTGAAAAATACAAGTAAAACTTCGACTTTTCGAGAGAAGGCCTCGTGTCGGGAAAGAACAACGAGTTTGCGAATCTGTTGGCCTTCGTTGACTTCTAACTTCCCAACGAAGGCCCTCCGCTCGAAACGTCGAAGTTTTAAGTACTAGATAAAACATGAGCAGCCGATCTGTATCTGATATCTTACATTTATTGGAAACAGCTTTGAACGAAAATTTAACTTTCAGGTTTCAAGGAAAAATTGATCGATATTAGATGTTCACCGTACCACAGAATACTACACAGAAGTCCATCTCCATTGTTTTTAGCGTAAGCTCTATTCGTCATGATTCGTCACTCAGCAAGTACCGTAAACAGAAGCAGTCACCCCCCTGGACATACGCCATTTTTAGTATTTTCAGGAGGGGGACTGCTTCTGTTTACGGTACTTGCTGAGTGACGAATCATGACGAATAGAGCTTACGCTAAAAACAATGGAGATGGACTTCTGTGTAGTATTCTGTGACCGTACACACGAACGGGTAAACGCGTCAAAAAACATGCAAGGAAAACTAGCTCGTCAATGCAGGGCTTAATTCAGAAATGGTCTGTTACTTTCCATCAAACCGCATGTTTATTTTATTTTAGCGTTTATAGTGTTTTCATTGTGCCGAAAGTACAGGTATAAAAACCTTAAGATTGACGTTTATCGTAGGCGGCGCAAAAACAGAAACCGCAAACTTCAAATTGTATTTCGAGGTCAACGTCTGCAGTTACAGCTATTCAAAGTTACTAAAATTGAAAAATGAATTAAGTATACTTAGCTGTAGAAAATTTTTATACAACTTACCTTCAAATGCGATTTGAAGTTTCTGTTTACGGTTAGCCGCCTGCCGTAAAAGTTAATTGTTGTAGTAACAGTAACAGTAGCAGTTGGTATCGTATTCATGCAATATTCATACAAAAACCAAGCTTTATAAAGAAGTTGTATTCGTTGGATTGCATGTCCGGGCAAAATGGCGCTTTCTACCGATGTCCTAACGAAATTTGCCACCAAAATTTCTCAATATCTAGTACTGCCCCTTCTCCGATATTACTTGAAAATTCTAGATCCAGCTCAAACTATTAATACTCTATATTTACATCAATGTGGGATGCATAAATTACATCAATCATACACTTTACAGGACGTCGCAATTTAATTGATATCATTTTATGCTCACGGAATATGACATGGTCATAAATTGTATACGTATATATTCCCTATAGAGGTAACTCATGCTAACCAAATAAGGCTTGCCTCAATTTACAACAAGGGTCTATAAAGTAAATTTATATGCAGTTGAATGTGTTATAATGGCAATATTGAATACACCTGCAAATTGACAAATGTAGACATACAGCACCTGTCGTGGATAAATCGATCCATAACAACATTAAAAGGTCAAAATGAATTAAGAACCGCAGTTATACAATGCTTTAAACATGATAAACGTTCGCATGGAAAGTGTTGCAAGTGAAGTTTTATTCAAGTGTGTTGCGATTGTGATTGTCCAAAAATTCAAAAGCAAAACGGACGTCTTAATGAAGTGAGTATAGGATATAATGAAGAATATCGAAATGGATTTAAGTCCAACGAAGGAGCAGTGCAGAAATGAAAATAAATTACAACCTTTTAATTCATTTCAATTCCATCGCAGTCCGAGAAGTTCTCAACTAAGATTTTCCTCACGACAAGACGTCACTCCCTCACCAGAAGTTGATACTGATATAACAATACTAAATGAAACGCCGAAGGAGAAAGCAGACAGACTTTTGCAGGAAGCGAACAAACGTGATATTGCCCTAATGGCTACCAGTTCGCGAGCAACGACTCGCTATGCAGCATTGTACGCCGCGAGCAAGAATCGCGGACTCGATGCATCCTTGGAAAGGAATCTGACCAACTTGGAAGCGGTAAAAAATAAAAAAGTGAGAATGATTCAGCAAACTCAAGAGATAGTTAAAGATGATTTTAAGAAGACTAAAAAGGTTTCATTACGACGGGAAAAACAGTTCGTGAAATATAAAAGTGAAAGCTATATTTATGAAAAACGGAGAACATCTTGTGATGGACATTGCCGATACGTAAAGTTGCCACCTATTCACCTTCGAAAGATGAATAGTCTGTGATGATATTCTGATTCATGAATCTGAACCAGAATAGTTGACTCAAAGATTTTGTGAAAAGCCAGTTTCCTCCTGGCTGCACTTTTCGTCTCTTGTATCAAATATGGATCACTTTCATTGAGAAGCACTCATTATATACCTGGCTCTCGGCATGTATATAATTCATATAACGACATATTGTAGGTACTATTTACAAATTTTAGAACTACATGAGCGGCCGTGTTGCCGGAAATACAAAGTCGAGTCGAAAATGTTATTAGCTAACGTTTCGTTTCGATACAGTAGATGAAGACGTTGCACTGTAAAGTGTAAACTACGAAATGTTAGCTAATAAAATTTCATAAAAGATATGTGTGATATAAAAATGACTTTCTCGACTCTTATTCTTTTTTGTTAATGCCGCCATCTTGGATAAATTAGATTTGGAAAGGATTAAAATCATTCCTCCTTTTTGAAATTAAACTTACTTTCATCCAATAAATGAGAATCACTTTGTACTTTGAATTATTGGCGATTGTTTGAATATCTATTCAGTTAATTATTGATAAAGCTGTCATAAAACTTAAGATAATATAAATCATCATAGACATAGTAAGTGCCATATTGAATAACGGTATTACAATCAAGTTAACGTATTTCTAAAACTATCGTTCTTTGTATATGAAAGGTTTTTCATGTGTATATCCATAGTTCTATACTTGTTAACGACCCTGACTAAAGTCGCACGTCAAGTTTTATAGTCTTCAAACTTAGTAATTGAAGTAAGTTAAGCTTGAAAATATTAATCAATGTTTTTACAATCTCATTTGCAGCAAGATATACAATTTACGCCAAGTTTTTTTGTATCGAGTATGGGGTTAACACATCCCTATAATTACCAAAACAGCACATCGTTCCTCTCGCCCAAAAAAACGTACGTCGCGTTTTCATGTCAAAACAATCATGACTACGACTACATTCCTAATGTTTGGAAAAGGCCGCATGCCGGCATCTTATTCGTCTGCGGGAAATTGTTCTTGAATTAGTGAATAACAGTCTGACTAACCATGAATGTACAGGAATATAGTCGCATTGCTGATTGTTTTGACATGAAAAGAAGACACGTTTTTCTTGGGCGAAAGGGAAAATCCTCGGTTTTGGTAAAAATCCAAGTCACCAAACTTTGATCCTCAATCCATGCATGAGCACACTATTAGTGATCGTTTCACACATATGTAATATGGTCTTTGTTTCGACGGTTTCCAATACTCTTGCATTCGTCGTCATTTCCTTCGTATTTCATCATGAGAACATCATCGCTAATAGACATAGCTTCCTCAGGAAACAATCCATACTCAGAGTATTCATGTTTATTCCATATTCTCTTCCTAACACTTGAATTTGGGCTTTTCTCCAAAATTCGTAGTTCAAAATTATTATTTTCATCAACTTGCTCGACGGATTCGCGACGACTGTTACTAGTTTTGGCATAAGACCGCTCTATTATGACGTCATTGCCATCTGGATCTTGCAGAATATAATTAGCTTCATTTGTCGAGTCACGTGACGAGGCCAAGTACTTAAACAATGGGGATACACTTTGGATTCTGAATTTTAGTCTAAATGAAGTACTTCGTATAGGAAACACCGCTGGATTTTTCTTCAAACCTATTTGCACATCGAGACCATCTTCAGAGTATACGGTAAGGAAGCAGAAATCAGTGCCACATTCCTTTGCTTGGCGGTCCGTAATATCTTCATAGAATTTCTTCATAGCATGAAAATTTTTCACATTAATATGAAACCGTACGTGTTCGTTCCCATAATGCACGCTGCAGACAGACATCAATGGCATATCATGAGAACAACTGTACAACTCTTGCCGTCCTATCCTCTGCGGTCGTTTTGTCAACGAACTTTCAATGACGTGATCCAATTGCCATAGTGATGTTTTGAAAAGACGTTTAAGTGTGCATTCGAGATCGGAGTCTTCTTTTAGGAACAAGCAAATCGCAAGGGAATGTGGATTTCGTTCCAATACTCTGTTTTCAATAGTTCTCTCCCTTCCTGTTGGTAAGCTCTCAAGGCAATCAAACTCAAGAATATTGAAAGGAAGTTTTATATCTACAAGAAAATCTTTGAATATTTGTTCTATTTTTGAGTTTTCATGTTCAACACAGGTAACAACGGAACAATAGCAGTTTACTTCTTCCATCATCCTCGCTTGACCTAAGAATACAATTGGTAGACAAGTTCAGGATCTGAGCTCGTCCACTAGTCACAATGTGCGCGCGTAATTTGTCTGACAACTCGCAAAATATGTTTCTTTAAATGGTATAGTGAAACGAATTGTTCTGATTTGTGGAATGTTTTCAAAATACTTTCATTATTTTGCAGAATATCCGTGTATTTACTGTCTGATAGCAGTCATAGTGATGAGCGCTCACGTATAATGGAACGTTGACAGCACTTTCTGGAATTGACATTATAAACATTGGTTGCACTAAAATAAGTCTTGAAAGTTCATTCATCGAAGCCAGGAAAGAGTTCGAACAAAATTTCTTAATAAACGACATTTCTTTCTTGTCTTTACTCAGAAGTCGGATCCATGTAGCTCGCAACATGTGATAGAATTAGCTGCCTTGTGTGCCGTACAGAAGGGAAAGGAAAGTGTGGTCGAGAAAGAGTCACCCAGTATGAAATTAAATGTAATGGATGTGATAGTGAATACATAGGAGAGACGGCGCGCAGCGCATGCACAAGAGGAGTAGAGCACTTACAAGCATTAGAGAAGGAAAATGAGAGATCAGTGTTATGGAGACACTGTGAAGAGAAACATGACAACGAGATACAGGAGTTTAAAATGAACGTAACAGGAATGTATAATAATGACGCTATGGCAAGGCAGATAGCGGAAAGCGTAAGAATAAGTAAAGTGCCGGAAGCTAAATTAATGAATACAAGAGAGGAATGGAACTTCTTCCAGCTTCCCAGAGCTGTAGTGAAGGACTGAGACAATTTTGATAGAAAGGACAAATAAGTGATATATACACCAAGTACTGCAGCGGTAGACTATTTAATAGGTATTATTTTGTCAGCCATTTTTTAGTAAATATTTTTAATTTTAAATAGAATGTTTTAATACATATCGTTCGTGAGTGTTTATTATCAACATAAGTACGTTGAAAGAGTAAAGACAAGAAAGCAATGTCGTTTATTAAGAAATTTCACTAAAATAAGGCCAAAAGGGTATTCTGTTTCTGATTAGTTTGTCAACTATTCACGTGTGCGCGGCTTCTTTTTCATAAAGTCAAAATTAGTAATTGCGATACTGAAAATTGATTTCGTGATTCCTATCATTTGCATGCTAGCATTCGTGAGCCATGTAAAGGTCAATGCTTCATTTATTAAATAATATACAAACAGTCTACAATCAGAAGCGCGGAATTTCCAATTCCATAAACTACGAGCTTAACATACAGATGGATATATTGTTATGGACATGGCAGGCTGACCCACAAAGGAATGAAGATATTGCTTGTTTTCCGCACGACGTTCAATGAAAGATAATCAAATGTCAAAATTGAACGTCGAAAATTGAATGTCGACCATGCAGTTGTAACCAACCCAAGCAGTTCTCGACATTCAGAAATTTTATAATTTTATGCTCGGGATAATATTCTTACATACACTGATAATTCAAATGTATGCATGCCTATATATAAAACATGAAATGATGAAACGCTGGCCAAAAAGAGCAGCTCAATATATTCATTTAAATCCACCAAGATCCTCAATTAATCCAATTAAGCTATGTTTAGGTACAGATAAGCTTATCAACTCTTCTCATAGTATATATCCTGAACGCCAATATTGTGAATATTAATGACTGACATAGTGCCTTTGAATTAATATACTATATAGCTGTCATAATATTTGGTTTACCTTCAATTTTCATCAATGTAGTGAACTTGGCGAGAGAAACAGATATATACAGTACAGTGATATCACAAGAACGACTTGTCTGAAGGAAACGATGAATTAACAACAAAGCTTATGCCAACTTTAAATCTTTTAAGTCGAATTCCACAGTTAATGAGATGCATTTTTTCATTTAACAATTAAGAATCATAAAACAGTTTTAATGACGTGCTAATTAAACGAAACAGCGTCACCACAATTTTGTTTGTAGCAGAAATGTTTGAGAGCTGTTGAACCTAGTTCTAGCTGTTTTAGTGAGAATACACCTGCAAAGCTCTTTTCAAGATGCACACAAGGGACCGAATCATTTAATGTGGGGCGATCTCAAGTCGACTACTGTAGATACAGTGATACAACATTCGCTCTGACATCCGTTAATGACTCCTACCATATTTGCATTATACTAAGTGTTCTTATCCTAGCATTGTGAAGCAAACGTCTCCTGATCGCGCTTCTCTTCACATATACTGAGGGTGGCAATAATAGCGAGCTTTGGCAAGCGACGTTTTTGTCAAGATGGATGTCAGATTGCCGAGGGAGGACTGGATTAAAAACTGTGTTTGTATCAGTTTGTGGTAATCTTCAACATATATGACAAAACATCAGATTTTTAAAGCTTTTTGCTGCCTTACATGAGCGCTATGATGCAAATACACCTGGAAAGTTCTTATCTGCGGCTATACAACTTCATTTCTGTGTTTGAGGCATTTGTTTAAGAACCCTTTATCTTGTTATTGAATACAAAATTACAAACAGGTCTTTTCTATTCACTGATAGGACTGTATATAGTTTCGTAAATGTGTCATCTGTAACAAGACAAAGGGCTCTAACCCAATATCTCAATCACGAAAACGAGGCTCGACAGCTAAGACTGAGTATTTTCCCAAGGGTGTATTTTCTACCCCGTCCATGTTGACAAAAACGTCGCTTGCTTATTGAGCTCACTCATAAAACAAACTCGGTACAATAGTATCTTCGTGAACAACTCAAATGAACTAAAATATAGAAACGACAACGAATCTCTTGATTTGGCTTTTGCTACGAGTCTTTAAAGATGCACTATTATTAGGACTACGTTAGTTGGCTATAGCGCTGGATATTAAACTGTAATAATCAATGTATTCAGGTGCCAATTATAATTTGTGGACAGATTTAAACTGACTATTCAGAACGAACATTGAACGGTTTGAACTCAATTTTATCTGTAAATTTAATTTTTAATGTATTTACTTATAATCATGTAACTCAGTCTCTACTGCAATGTGATTTATTAAACAGATTATTATTATTATTATTATTATTATTATTATTAATGTATCCAGGAGGGGGGATTCAGAATAAAGGCAGGCTTCACGAGTAGACAGTCCTCTAGTATTGTTTGCGTGCTTGGATGTATGATGCAGTTATCTTATTCCCGAACTTATTAATTTATATATACATAATTTTAAATAGATATATGTTTTAATTATTAGAAGACCTGATATTTGTTGTGTTGGTGTAGTGTACTCAGGTGAATAAGATGCTTGTGATGTTACTCTGAGTGTGTATCGAAGGAACTAGACTCAGTTCCGAAATATCGCATCTCGAACCGACCTGACCGCGTAGCTCAGTTGGCAGAGCATTGGGCTAATTTTCCAAAGGTCGTAGGTTCGATTCCCACCGTGGCCAGGCATAATTTTCAAGCCTGCCCGGTGTGGATACGCACTCAGAGTAACATCACAAGCATTAGAGGACCTTCCTGAAAATGACGGTAAATGTGACGTCCGCTTCCTCTGTGAAGATTACATATTATTATTATGCAAATATCTCAAATATAGGAAAGAAAACGTTCACGTTTTGGCCTTCCCTTAAAACGTGCGAGTTTGTTTCTATTTTCAGGTGGTCGGTTGCATCAAAACATCCAAATGCGAAAAACTGTAGAAATGGCAACCAACAAACCATGACAGCTTTCTCACACAATCAAAAAAGAACACGCAAAAAATTCCGAACAAGGCGGGGTTTTTTTTTTATAAAAATCTGTTACAAATCTAAAACACACTTGGCATGAAGTTGACACATGCAGCAAAATATGCTCTATCTATATATAAATATATTAATATCTCTGCCTCGATTTTAACTGGGCATGTGAGGAAGTCAAAACCGTCAAGCAATTCCGTGTGATTAAAATTCATCATGGCGAGCTAGTGCTTCTCCAAAGTCAGTTACTTGACTACCAACAAATATATCGTGCTTGTTCAAAATTTCTTGCTTTGTAAGCATGCCATCCTAAAATTAAAACGAGAAAATTATGATTCATGGTAATTTTCATATAGGGCAGAACACCCTCTACATAGTTATTTTTGTCTATAATTTTTTTGTTTCTGAGATCCTAAGTTTTGGGGTCAAAGTTGTTTGGCAAGCTCACTTGTATTCTTCCTAATATGAAATTTTGTGTGCTTTTAGGAGCGCGAATTTGCAAATCAATATTTGAAAATCTTGAAACTGCGACAATTTCCAAAAGGAAAATTCCTGATAAGCTGGTGTTCTAGGAACTGAAACAAATCAGAGCTTTGCGAGGGACACAGCCCGTACTCTAATTTTTAAGTCATCGATCTTGCGCTCACAACATATAAATGTCTAATCAAACGGCTTGTCTTGATTGTTGTTCAACAGAAATCCGCAATGGATAGACACATGATATAATAGCCTTTTCCTGATAGAGGATGCGTCCAATTTAATTGTGGTATATAATACGTACTTTGTCTGTGTCAGCTTCATGCATCAAATGTGTAGATTCGGCAACAACATTGTCATATTCTGCAGGTAGGATCCAGTCCTTTACCTCGGCCTAAAAAGCAAACATTGGTGAAGTATAGACTGATGAAAACTGACTCAGCAAATACCAGTGGTAATTACCATGGAAATTTGGGATCAGTGGCGTCATTCTGGTGTCAGCAAATCCAGAAATCCGCCATGTTTTTTGGCCGAGTAATATTTATAGTTCTCCAGTAATATTTATAGTTCAGTGGTCATAACCTACGATGAAATTTCAGTGGTACGCCGCCACACAAAATTATTTACTGCTGGTGACTTATACAGAAGTTCACCATTTCGAAAGTTTCACCTCTTGTGGCTACAACCAACAAATTTTCGTTGAATGTCGTATACATGTACACAGGATGAGGGGATACTTTTCATGGAAACTGATGTGTTCGTCTGTACAGCGGGGTTCAAATCTACACTTTTAAAAGATTATTTTCTCTAAATTTACCTTGCCCATAAAACCATCACCATTTTTGTCTCTGTATCTTGAAAATTGTTCTTTCTCAGTTTTTAACCAATCAGGTTCCTCGGCGTTGTTCTTTCGTTCTTCCTCGGAGTACATATCACCTGAAGAAAACAGCAACTTAAGACTACGAATAACTGGGAATGAACATCGTATACTTCTGACCGGTTCTTAGTTGAAGCAAGGAAAGAGTTTGACAGCTTTAAAATTGTCGGTGCATACAGTACAGTAATACGACTTCTTTTCTCTTTTAACCCATTAACTTTTAGTAAGAAGTTAAAAATTCATGCGATTTATTTGACAATTAAAAAAAAACTTGGTGGTACAAAATATATATTTTGCTGAAAGTAAGCCTCTTCAGTTTTTATCCACAATACTGTACCACAATATTTACAGGTAACGCATCAACCATTTTATCAAAAGAGAAAAAATCAACCCACTAGCCATTTCGAGGCTACAGATTCCGATTGTCTGTACCGATAACGGAATAATCACCCCGATTGGCCGATTCCGTGTCGGTCAGTCACTATCACTTTTATGGACGTACTGTATTGGCTGTTAAAGCCTCCAGTTCACTGGTACGAGAAGGTTTAACCCATAATTTCTACTAGTTTCCCCACGGTAACCATGGTCTACGTAAACGATAAATGGGCACGGGTGTTTTATGTTTATTATTTGTGAGCCGTAGTAAATTGTACTTCAACATCTTAGCTACTGTAAATAAATCAATTATGTACATATGCGCACTCGTCAATTTTTGCCTGATCTATGGTAAACTTTCGTTGCCATTCTCCGATCGGTTTTCTTACCCCGGAATATCTTGGATTTCTTATAGTTAGGTTGTACAGTATATCACCCGCACCCGTAAATCGGAATCGTGTATCGTAACCTCTCTAATAACAAGAATACTCACCAATATATTCATCCAATGAAACCTTTCCATCTTTATCTTTATCAATATCCTCCAGTGTCTCTTCCACCATGATATCCTTCATGTGTTCAAATTCTTCTGGATGTAGAAATGACGTCAGTTCTTCTTTGGTCAGCCTGTCATCCTTATCAACATCAGCTCTCTCCCATCTTCTCCTATCTCGTGTTTTCATTTCTTTGTAGTTGAATTCAGTGTTCCTCTCTGGGTCATCTGCAAACAATAAACATTAAACCTTTAATTTGACATGAGCCAATGGGAGCGTTTAACTTAGTGAATAGTGGTAGCAGAGAAATCAAGACAAGTCACGTCAGTTATCTGACAATATCAACAATACCATCTTCTCGTAATTTTTTCAATCAAGAAAGAAAGTTATCAAGTATCATGCTATGCACGGCTGTTTTGTTGATTTCATTATCGTTAAGCTCCTTGTATTTTTCAGATACCAGCTTTTATTTCATTGGCACTACCTTACACTAGCACACACAGTTCAAGATTACACCTGTATGTCCTACACTTGCCTAAAATTAAGTTCACAGATAGACAGACGTAGCCTGAAATTTTAGGAATACTGGTATATTGAGCCAGTATTATCGAGTATATTGGTATCTTGGTAACCTCCCCCTTGGCTAGGCCTGATAACTAATGCACTTCACCTGAACAAGATTTACACTGTACTGCACTGGGCCGTGTTGTTCGAAAGCCGGTTAAGTTAATCCTGGATTAACGAAAAGCTTGAAAGCAATCTCTCCAACAACTTGCATATAAACTTGGAAATACATTTCCAGAAATCATGTTGGATCAATAGAAGTTTTATTTTCTGAGGTTTTGAAACAGAACTAACAGACAAACATGAAGAAATACATAAACCAAAACAGCGAGCTAAATTTGAACCCAGGGTTTGCGCGAATCCAGCTTTTGAACAACCGTGCCTAGATATATTCCAGCAACACACACAAGAATGGAAATAAATCAAATAATGTTCATCTTACCAACATCAAAGCCATATGTTCTGTTCACATATTCTCCCCACAGAATGGAAGGTTTTTTATCTGGGTTCAGCTCATTCCATTGTCGGTCAACATCTTCGTAAATATATCGTTTCTGTGTATGATCAATGTAGAACTTTAGTTCTTCCTCACTGACTTTACCATCGCTGTCACGGTCGATCTTGTCAACGAGGATTCTGGGGGATAAACGAATTGTATAAATGTACTGCAGCTCCAGCTCTGACTCCAGCCTAACGCACTGCATGGATTGAGAAGCCCCAAATTGATGAATTTCGCCCGGGGTTCAAAACCGACCCAGTAACACGGGAAGGCCTGGGACTGCAGCCCCGAGTAGGGTAAAAGGCTATGTTGTCGTCCCTGTTCGAAGTGAACGCGGTTTCATTATATTGATGTAAAGACGTGCAAGTTTATATTAAAATGGAGTGTTGCTATACTGTACTTACAACAGACATAATTCCTCCTATTTATGTTGTAAGAAAGTTTGTAAAATGTTTAGATGGATATAGGCAATGGGAACCGTATGGTGTTAAAATGGCTTTAAATGCCTCAAGAGTTGCCAAAATAACTCATTGTGATGTCAGTGCGAAATATAAGTATATGCTCGCTTTGTATTTGGTTGACAAGTATAACCGGAACCGTTTATTCGGCTATTCTGGGTACACACTATACACACTTAAAAACGCACAAGTTGTTACAGGTCTGCAAACACGTTGTTACAAATATGTTCACAAGCTGTCGACAAGTTGTGCTCGCATTGCTTGTTCCCAGTTGTTGTAACAAGTTTGGAACAAGCTGTTAACAACTTGTATGTAACAAGCTTCATCGCATTATCAGACTTGTTACAAGGTTGTTCTAACACTATTCCACTACACACATGCGTAAAAACGTATAAGTTGTAACAATCCTGCCGCAGACTTCTAGCAATGCTTTTCCAACAACTTGTCAACAGGATGTGTTCCCACTGCTTGTTCCCATCTTGTTGACAAGTTGTCAACGGCTTGATGACAACTTACTACAAGGTTGTTGAGCTCAACAGACTTGTTATAACTTGTTCCAACAACTTGTTATCGTCCTGGAATTCAACAATTTGTCAACAAGTTGTGAGTGACAACCTTGTAGCAACTTGATAAAATAACAGCATTGTTACAACTTGTTGACAAGCTTGCTACAACCCTGTTGCGAACACATCTTGTTGCCAAGTTGTGAGATTTTTACGTGTGTAGACCTGGTCAGCAAAGGCACGTTTACAGTATATCCGTTGTGTATGGAATTGAAATGCTTGGTTACTTCCTCTTAATTCTATTCTTAAATTATTATGAGTGGCCTGAATGAACAATGAATAAATTTATGCCCCTTACGAAAGTCAAAATCTCCAAACTTGGTACAAGTACAATTAAAATCCATTATCTACACGTTTTTATTCTTTATGGCAAACATATGTGTGTCAAGATTATGAATCTGGACTGATTGGGGGATTATTTGGACATTTATCCTGAGATAGGTTAATTTGTATATTTTGTCACTCTTAAATCTCAATCCCTTGAATAAATAGAATTTTAACATTTTCTGCCACAAGTTTTTGATACGACGATAATTTGATAGCCTAATTGCATCTTTAGCACTGTCTCCGTTTGTCCCTACTATATTCTAAAATGTTGACACAAAATGACGCAGAAGGCCATCACACTTAGAAATGGATTTACCAAATTTGGGATTTGCCACATTTGAAACGTCAGCTTCTAATATCACTTTGAATATGTATTTAAGAATGCATACACTGTACATACGGTACAAATGGGTGAAGGACAAATACAGTGTATTTACCTGCAGTTCTACACGTGGATAGTCTAAGTAACAGTATAATGCTATAATAATATTATTAACGAATAACGGTATTTATTATATGGCATCCACGAATAACGGTATTTATTATAAGCATCACTTCTGGTGAAATGGCGGACTGTGATTGGCTGAGAAGCACTTTCAGCAGTCCATTATTTCCCCGTAATGGACCGGCGGTCAATTTCGTAAAAACGAACACATGCATTTTAAAACAAAACAGCAAAACTAATTGAAAATTTGAAAGTTATAATTTAATTTGTTATTAATAACTAAAATATCTGCGAAAGTTTTTTTGTGGAAAAGAAGGAATACATTGTTTTTTTTTTGTTTTCTAGTTCGATCTATTTCGGTTTCAAATGATGCACTTCTTGTTTGTTTCAAGTATGAATGCCATATAATAATTTTTTATTAACCTCGCTTGCTCAGCATGTACAGAGAAATATCGGACCTCGGTCTTTTTTGTGCAAACCGAATCGGTTAACAAGAAATCGGTTAAAAATTGGTTAACAAGAAATTTATATACAACTAAACAAGTTACTGTGTAATATACTGTGCAACGAAAGTAAAACAAAAATTATTTTAAAATAATTTATAGTGCAAGTCCCGCATAATGGTTTTATATCAAGCCCACATCATGTATACAGTGGGCTACCAATATAATCAATATATTCACTGTTGTGGTTGGTTGGTTTACATGCCTTGGGCAATGCCTAGGGAACAACAACAACAACAACAACAACAACAACAACAACAACAACAACAACAACAACAACAACAACAACAACAACAACAACAACAACAACAACAACGACAACAACAACAACAACAACAACAACAACAACATTTATTTATATTCTAGACTATTGTTTAGAAAAGAAATCTGCTATGTACTAAAAATAATATTAAAAAAATCTTTTTGCATATATTTTTTGCCTGGTATTTCAATGTTCAAAATTCGAATATTCTATGTTCTAGCTAGCATTGACAATTTTAAACTTATGGTCTTCTGCGGCAAAAACTATAGGAAATGTGCAAACTGAAATTGCTTTACAGAGAGGGTCAGGTATTAAAAGGATATTTTCGTGAGCTGTGAATGGTCAATATTTGTTCACGTGAAATGTGAAATGCTTGATTTTAGTGGACATCGTGAAATGTGATTTGTTCTACAACCGGAAGGCGTGATTGTCGATAAAAATGCTCCATGAAATGAGAATTAAGGATGCCTGTTTCGTGAACTGTGATTTTGCTTTGTTTATTTCGATCTATTTTATAATAGTTATAATAGACATGATATGCGATAATCAATTTATATGATCTCACTCAATTGCACAAGAGTAAAAACTTCAGAGGTCTTTCGGAGGTCGTCGGACATACTCGTCACTCAAACTTCTAAGTTATGATGTAGTTTTTAACTGACAGGTTGTACCATGCATTAAACATACTCTTAATAATTACCTATTATTATTATATTGTTTTTAATTAGAATCTAGTTTTCCTTGAAATTGCTTTTTTAAGACATGTGAATCGTGAAACGGCTTTTTTTTCGTTGTGAAACGCGATCCATACCCCCCTTTCTCACCCTCTACAGAGGCTTAAAAATTGCAAAATGTTCTCAGGGGAGCAACCCTTAATCTAAAAAAGCATGCATATTCATATACACCTGCAAATTGATATTTTGGTGCATGTTCTTTTATAGGGGTTATATAACAGTTGCAACAGATAATTGGTGAAGATTAACTGAGAGTATAACATCAAATTTATTTGTGAAAGTTATGGTCAGTTTCCCTACAAATTTTGTGCACATACTGTACAGTGATGCAAAGATGTTGGGGTATGCTTGAAGGCATTTGGCGCAAAGATGTTGGGGGTATGCTTGAAGGCGTATGGCGCTGTTTGATACAATATCTCATTACTGTAATTATTTTTTTATTAAAGACCATGTAAAGTCTGTAATGTAAACAAACGCTTTGTTTACATTTTGAACTCAGTGCTGCAGTTGTAAAATATGATTAGATATATATTTTACTGAATTTTTACTACACTCTTCTGGTTCGCTATGCTTGTCAAATGAATACAGACTAGAGATTCAATTCAAGAAAGTTCAAAAGATACGAAATATTAATAACATTCCGATCCAACGGTCGGGTCCCGACTATTGGAATGTAAGCATGCGCAGAATGTATGCGCAGAACAGACTTTACATGGTCTTTAAGTGATTACTGTCTTGGATAATTGCAGAAGCCAACTGTGACACAACCCGCCCCCTTCATCCCAGTGATAAGCATTGTCTGGTACAAGATGCCAATGAAAGATATTTAAAAATTTCAACATAAACCACTTGGCCATAGAAAAAGCTAGCTTACACATGTACATACAGTAGAAATATATCAGATTTTGAATGACTACCTCACAGGTGTTTGTTGTGATGTCAATAAACATCCAATGTTGTATTATAACATCCTGACGAATGTCAACCTAACCCCTGCTATGAATGTCTGTGAGTTGATCAAATCATCATGTTGAGATTTGTTTCAGCCATTAGGCATACAGGAGGAAAAAAATTGGGGTGGGGGAACAAACATTTGCCGCATCCTAATGAAAATGCCTGACCGCTACGGCGCTAGAGTATATACAATTATTTTTTGTTCCAAACTTTGTGCTGTCGAAGGAGAAAAAAATGTTCAAAACATAACCGTAAGAATTTTTAAAACATAGCATACTTCCATTATAATTTAACTTCACTGTTAAATTAAGCAGAATTGTCCAATTTTTAAGTGCAATCTACCTGATTTTGATTTTTAAGTAAAAACTCAGCCCAGCCCCCACTGCCACACCATCCCCTCCTGCATGCATAAAATATATTCCTCCAGGGTTTCATATTACAGTGCTCACACATTAATACAGAAAAAATAAAACGTTCTAGAAAAAAATATACGAACACATTCATGTCTACGTTATAGGTATTGATATGAAGATACTGACAACACAGAGGTAAAAGGAATTTTGGAGCGTTTTAGAACTTTTTTTTACATATTTATAATCGTATATACTACGAAGCAATCATGGCCAGATTGAACTGTTTGTGCAACGTACTGCAGATAAAGTTAAACTGTTGATTTTATCATATTTACATATTGTCATCATGTCTATTATAGCCTATACTCTATAGAGAACGCAAATTTCATCTCAAATGTTTTAAATTACTGTAGGATTTGTGCAAGTCCATATATTATATAACTAATGAGCTTCAGAGATACACGGAAAAGTGCTTGATCTATGCCTATGGGCTAAAATAAATACAACTATGGCTTTGTATTTGTCCCTTATTATTTGCTTACTGTAATAAGGTCCCAGTTACACGATACCCGATTCCGCGGCTTTCACGACATCAGGATATGCTGTTGGGGGGTACGTCTGCATACAAAAATTATAGATTTCTACAAGAAGTGACCAATACAGTGCACAGCAAGAAATATCTGAATTTTGCGCGCGCAGCATTTCCTATGCGCAACTTGGTATTATGGTATATATCAACAGTTAATAACATTTGACAAATATTTGCAATAATAATCACATACTTACCCCAGCCTACGTAGACTTTCTTCGGGCGAAAGCTGATCAAACGTTGCCTTTTGTTCGTTTCCTAAGAAAGCTTCATGATCGTAGTCTGCATTGTGTTCATGTTGGTCGCCTTTATAATGTTCCTCGCCTGAGAGCGGTTGTTGTTCATGTACACGCTGCTTTCCTTCGTTCGGCCTTGGAATAGCATGAACCAATATCAGACAAAGCATGAACATTCCAATACAACGAAACGCCATTTCGATAGCCCAGGCAACAGACACAGAACAGCGAGTTTGACAAACGAGGCGAATATTTTCAAGTTGTGGTTTATTATGCCGAGTGTGTTGTAACATGATTGGTTAGATGAAGCATGTGACAGAAAACGTAAACATTGCCACGTTGGCAAGGAATTCAATGCTCCCTTGTTTTACTCTCCATAGAGTCTGGGGTGAGGAAATGACACGCGGAAATACGGGGGAAACCCTTCATTCCAGTCATAATAGGTCCCTGCACTCCTGCAGTTGGCCTACAAACACTTTGCATATTAACAATATTGGACAATAAAAATTCTGTACTTTGTCTTACTCCTTTGTTTACAAATCCCACAGCTTTCTATCCTCTCCAGTCACTTTATATTGCTAGGCGAAAGACTTTCGTTTGAAATGTCGACGTATAAATTCACATTTACAACACTTCCGGTCATGTGGCAAGCTTTATCATTAGTGGCAGTAATGCTAATGCTGATATAGATACAGGGACGCCGGAACGATAATAAGGCAAAGGGGGGGCAGACACACTGGGAATTTTTTGGGCGACCCCCCCCAACCCCCCGTCGCCAAAAAAGTTTCGGTCAATGTAACATTTTAGGGGTCAAAATTTTTTTCCGGACATACCAACATTTTCCGTTAAGATAAAAATTTTTTTCTAAATTCCAAAAAATTTCTAAAATTTTTAATTATTCTTGTTAATTTTTAATTTTTTTTGGTAATTTTTGTTAATTACCTGAATCTCATGATTTTCCCAGAAAAAGCATCACTGGAAATGTGATTTATCACGTAGTATTTTACAACTAAAAGGGCACTTCTGCCCCCCCCCTGCCCCCCTAGCAAAAGGCAAGGGGGATAGCCGCCCCCTGCCCCCCAGTTCCGGCGTCCCTGTATAGATATGACTTCTTCTTACTAAACCTTTGCGATTGACTATGTGTATAAGTACAGGTATATACAGTCTACAAACAAACAGCTTGCATGATGATATAAGTTTCCAGTACGAATGTAAAAATTTCGCATTTGCGGTTTCAGTCCCTGAGCTGAAAAAGTTGAAAAACAGCTGCTATAAATATTGCTAAGGGGGAGTGTAAAATCGACAAAGTCAAAGTAAATTATAAATGATACGGTATACTGTATAGGCTTAGTTTATACTTTACACAGTATACTGATATATAGTCATATATGTAGTCATTGAACGCTGATTGTACATGTTTGACCATTTTCCTCACGCTTGTGAATATAAACAACACTTCCTAGCTAAATAAACATTATGTTTGCATAAATTCATTTTATCATACAAGCTTTTTGTTGCGAATAGGTGATTCCAGCTGTAGACTAAATTTTGATCAAGGCAAGAAGAACGAAATCCAACACTCAACACCACAGGCAATACAGGCTGTACAGCTAGAAAGAGCGTCTTAGAATGAGTAAAACTGCAAAGATTGGTTGCTAAATGTTGTAAAATGAAGAAAATATAGCCTTGTGAAGTTAATATAGCCTTGTGAAGAAAATATAGCCTTCTGTATTTATAATACGCGCGGTAAAAATAACCACTTTCGGCTCAAAAATGGTTATTTCCTCCGTGAAATAAAATGTTGATTAGTTCCGATTTATTCGTAAACTTTGAGAATTTTTCTTGATAAACTTCGATGAACTTCAAAACATACAGATTACAAAAGAGAGCACCAGGGGCGGCGGAACCGGGCGGGCTAGGGGGGCTAACCCCCCCAGAAGTAAAAGTGGGGGGGGGGCTTAGCCCCCCCAGAAAATTTAGTTTTTTCTGGAAAAATTTTGATAATTAAAGAAAAATTTAGGTTATTTTTAATTTTGAAAATTTAGGTATAAGGGGAAAAATTTGCAATATTTTGTTTAAAAATAGTGTATTTCCGGAAAAAATTTTTGTTATATGTCCGGAAAAATTTTTTTCATCCCTTTTCTTGTATGTGTGGTCACGGAAAAAATTTTTTTAGCCCCCCCAGAATGAAATCTGTTCCGCCGCCGCTGGAGACCACATTGTTCACAATTACTACGTCATGCATAATAATTACTACGTCATGCATAATTATGATACGTTATCGCGATAATGTCAATTATTTTCTACACTCCGCGCGTAATGCAAATATATACAAAATTTGCGAATTTCACAGGGCTATATTTTCCTCATTTTACAACAATTCGCAACCAAACTTTAGCAATTTTACTCATTTTAAGATGCTCTTTCCAGCTATGGTAATGGATTTCGTTCTTGTTGTCTGCATCAAAATTTCGTCTATAGCTGGAATCATACATTAGCTAGCAGACCCTAGCAGATACCATTTCCTGCCGACAACCTTCCCAGGCCCTGGGAACGAGGTTGAGGCATGTCGACAGTTAATTCGATTCAAAGAGTTGAATTAGTTTAGGGGCGACACTTCCTTGACAGAAGGGATTCGCAAGAGAGTTTTTCAAACTTGCAAAGAGTAATAATAAGGAAAATCAAGTTAAGAACAAAAAAGCGGAAAGCTGACTTAGTTTACCTGTAACGCCGGTCATGGGATTGAGAATTTGGGACAACAGTTTCTTAATTTAACTTGTCGTTAATTATGGTTTATAATAGAATAATATATACCGTCATAATGCATAGAATAGCATCTGTTTTCACTGATGCAGTCAATATATATGCATAGTATATTTTATAATTCATCATGTTCCAACAAAACGCTCTGTAGATCAGGATAGTTTTTGTTGAATTGATCCCAATTATTTAATATCTCGTTTTGGTTCAAGATTCCATCCTACAAGAATAATTGAAAATTAGAAGAAGAAAAATGTACGTGTACACATCCTACAAAATGGGAGGGTTGATGTCATACAACTATCTCCGTTTCAGTTGATCTAAAACAATTATCTACCTATAAATTACTTATATCTATCTGGCAATGGGTGTCAGTGCAAACCTCGCCTCGCAATGCCATGCAGAAATGCTGTATTATAGGCTTCGTTTATATATACCCTATACCAGATAGCTTTCTGTAGAGGTGCGAAAAAGCACCTATTCCATACGGAATGTGCAACTTTCAGAAGCTGAGCGAAACAACATCGCATGAATAATCTACCGGTTCCTAAAGGTGTTTTTATACGTCGCTATGGAAAGCTATCCAGCACAGCGTCAACGTAGCCAGGAGATGCATGCCTCCTGATCCACCCATGATTCTTATACATCACTGGAGCTTGAGTTTGGAATTTCTAATACCATTGTAAGAGTTTGGATTAAACAGGCTTTCAGACGTTTCTTTTTCCGACCAAATCCATAAATGGCGCTGACAGACACAGAAAAAATGTAAATGTTCACCTTATTTCTATCCATTTGTTGCATAAAGCCATTTGTTTCTATCTCAATACGGGATGGATAAGAACGATAAAGCCATTTCTTTACTTCAGCCTGCAAACATGCAGGAACGATACGGTAATATCCAAGTGTGGAGACGATGGCGGGTGAAGTTACTCGAATTTAAATTCACTATTAGGCCCCGTTTACACGAGACCGGGACGAAGTTAAACTGGAATGAAAATTGAAATTGTCAACACGTTTACAGTATGCGGAATCATCGTTTTTAGTAAGCGGAATCACTTGAGACCGGTCTGAGTTATTTTCGCCCCGGTCTCTTGTAAATCTATAGTTATAAATAATACTATGACTGAAACGAAATGGACCCAGTTTGACTTTGTTCCGGTCTCATGTAAACGGGCCATAGGCCAGGGTCAAACGTCGAACTTTTCATGTGCCGCACCTAATGTTAATGAGCTAAGTTCTTTGTTTCACTTCATTTGCATTACGGTTCGGCACATGAAAAGTTATACGTTTCCCTGGCCTTAGATTGAGCAGACCAAATTGACCTGACCCAGTTGAATGTAATATCAAAACTTGTTGGGAAAGTCGCGATCGGTACCGGGATTTTGCAAAATAGTGAACTATTTGAACTTGTATTCAAACTTTTGGCAAGACCTTCATTTCTAGCAGACCATTTTGAGAACATTTTAAGTATCGATATCTAACGTGATTAAATCCACCCTGCATGCATGGCATGTTATACAGGCACGTGCACACTCACCAACATGAGCTCCATCTTTGAATTAATGTGAATTAATTAAAAAACGTCCGAATTTATTAATACAATACGGGGTAGGATATAGACAAAATGGTCATCGAGTTTAGATTAGGGTCAGGGGTTAGGGTATAAGAGGTTACAGTCGGGGGTAGATTAGGGTTGGGGTTCAACATGTGTCGCGAATTTGTTGTATTAATAAGTTAGTATGTGTTTAACATTTTTCTCATATGATAAATTCTCACATGATGAAGGTGGACTCGTGCTGCACTCACCAACCTCTGACCACCTCCCTCCCCGTCTGCTACGATCTACGAACGCTAATCGTCTCCTGTGTGCTCGAACTAATTAAGTGTGTATTGTTGATGGCAAAGTTTAAATTGCTCATATACCATATTCATGTAACCATCCTGATCTCGATCTTTCAACTGTTTGAAATATCGTTCTCTGAAATCTACTTCGTCAGCAGCCACGTTTGTTGACGCATCCGAACCTCAAGAAATGAAACAATTTCTTGTCACTTAATAGAAAGGTAACTCTACTAATGTACACATGAAGCTGTCAGTTTCCAACCTCAGGCTTCGGCTTCGACGCTAACTGGCAAATCATATCCTTCAAAATGTAGAATTTACCTAAGCAAAATTCCTACTGTGATCACAGAAATTCCCTGCGGCAAGATTTGAAAGATATCAGCAGACATTCCTGTTTCGCCACTGGATCGTTCTGTCTTATCCCCCCTGAAATATCACCCAAAAGCTCGAAAGCATGGGGGAGGCGGGACTGGCGGGTTACTTACCAAGATATTCATTCAAGGAAACCTTGCCATCCTTGTCTGCATCTAGGGCTTGGAATGTTGCTTCCACATTGTAATCTTTCATTTTCTCATAGTCTTCAGGGTTTTCAAATGCTGCTAATTCTTCCAGTGATAAGTTTCCATCTTGATCGAAATCTGCATATTTCCAACGTGTTTTAGCTTGTTCTTTAATTTGGGCAAGCATGCCATCAATCGATGCAACTGTATAAGGAAAGCGATCCAAATTAAACTACACAGAAAACTTCAAAGGGTACAATTTACTCCTGAGTTAATGTTAAAATTTACTCTCCATGGGAGAGTAACAATCTACGGGGTAGCAATTACCCTATACCTATTAAAAGAATTGATGTCTTTGAATTTTGCAAACGAGTGATGAGCTAAATTGCTTAAATCTAAATTCGACCGTTGGTTTAGCGGTTGGTAAACGAAAGGAATACTACCAGTGCCGTAGCAAGCTCGATAATTGGGGGGGGAGATATTCATATATTCGTGTTCTGCGTTTTTAATTTCTTTAGAAATCGATTGTTTTTATGGTCTGTGAACACGAATATATGAATATCTGCCCCCCCCCAAATTATCGAGCTTGCTACGCACTGAATACTACAAATTGAAAGCAATGTAAAACAATGTTTGGAAGCTATAGAAGTCTGGTTTCAAGTACATGCGGATGTAATTGTCGAGTGGAAATTTACATACATTTTTTGACCTAACCAGGAACAGCTGCAAAAATGCAACTATATTGTAGGACCCTGGCAGCAATCGTACCTGGGTCCCTGGTCCCTGGCAGTAATCATATGACAGCGGGTGTTGGGAACGAACCCAACCGAATGTCGTTTATATATCAAATAATAATCACCACGTCATTACACTTTATTTACTCTCAAATTTAGTTTATTCTAAGCAGTACATCATGACAAATATCTTGTACATATCAAATATCCATGCATCATTCTGTCCTCGATTCTGTCCGTATTTCGACTAATATCGGTCGTAAACAAAGGTTTGCTACATAGAATTACAAATAACGTTCATTAACAACAAGTTCAAGTGTTTCAAAGTCAAAATGAAAGAAATACTTACATCTTATGGCGATTTTAAAGCAGATTACGTTTGTATATCTATCACGAATATCAATAGTTTTCCAAAAAGCCTCGCTCGCGAAGACTGGCCCTAAATTAATTATGCTAATGTCAACAAACGGCGCGAAATAATTAGATTAATTATAGTAGCGTCCGTAACATCCCGGCCCCCCAATGAGCGTATCACGTTAGCTCATTTACCACCTTTATTCGTCAGCCTCCAGGAAGCACAACTTCTGAATTGGACGTTTCAAAACATTGTTTTTCGTTTTCACTTCGGCGACTCTGACAAGACCATCCTTTCCAGGAAACACCTTCGTCACTCTTCCAAGTAGCCAATGTCCTCGTTGAAGTTTCTCGTCTACTAGGAGTACAAGATCACCAACTGCTAAATTTCGTTGTGGTGTAAGCCATTTTTGTCTTTGTTGTAAAGTTGGTAGATACTCATGTAACCACCGTTTCCAAAAATGATCGCTCAAAATTTGTGATTGTCTCCAACTCTTTCTGCTATACAAATCAGCATCGTCAAATTTTCCAGGAGGTAGAGTAATCGCTGGTCTTTGAAGTAACAGATGATTCGGAGTTAACGGCTCCATGTCCCGAGGATCGTCCGAGTTCGGGCACAGAGGTCTGGAATTGGCAATCCCTTGGGCTTCTGATAACACCGTTCTCAAGACTTCTTCTTTAACTAATGTCTTTCCTAGGATAGCCTTCAACGATTGTTTAACACCACGAATCAGTCTCTCCCACACTCCCGACATATGGGACGCTAATGGCGGGTGGAAAATCCATTCTACTCCGGTTTGTCTTAAATGCTCTTCAATCTGATTTTGATTCCACCTTTCTAAAGCTTCACGTAACTCGCGCTCTGCGCCCACGAAATTTGTACCGTTATCTGAACGCAGTTGTTTAACGCCACCCCGAATGTTTAAGAATCTTCGTAACACCATGATGAAATCATCGGTTTCCAGAGACTGGGCTAGTTCTAGATGTATGGCTCTCGAGGCCATACATACAAATATACATCCATAACGCTTGGCAGAACCCCGTCCGTGTTTTACCATAAGTGGTCCGAAAAAGTCAATGCCCGTGTTTGTAAAGGGAGGTTCGAAAGGAGTAAGGCGAACCTTAGGTAACTCTGCCATTTCTTGGGTCATCCGTACAGAGTATCTTTTCCTACACGGTATGCATTTGCTGATCACTCGTTTAATAGTCGCTCTGCCCTTAACGATCCAAAATTCTTCTCGAAGTCGAGATAACAACTGCTCTTGTCCGCAGTGTCCAAGTTGTTGGTGATTAAAACGAATTATCAAGGTTGTAACATGGTGATTCTGCGGTAAAATCATCTGATGTTTACTGTCAAACGTGCTTGGTGCTTCTGATATTCTACCAGAGACCCTTAGGAGTCCGTTCTCGCCTAGCATGGGCTTAAGCTTCACAATCGAACTCGATTTCTTCACACGTTGAGCGGTTTTATCCTTTCTTTTAAGATCTTGCAATTCTTCCGGAAACGACTGGTGTTGAACAAGTGAAACAATCGTTCGTTTAGCTAAAGTCAGGTCATCCACGGTTAAAGTATTGCATTCTAAACGTTTACCATTTTTCAACCAAGCTTTGTACTTGCATAGCCAAGCCACATATTTAAGTAGTTTCGACCAGTCCGAGTATCTTTCGAGGAGTTCATAGAGCAGAGGGCTTACAGTCGTCTGGAGGCGAGTCGCACAAGTCGTTTTCTTCCTTTTGATTTCCAGTTCGCTGTCGGGTATCTCTTGAATTGGCTCATTGGGCCATGTATCTCTGGGGTTCGAAAGGAACTCTGGACCTCTTAGCCATCGCTCTTGTTCTATGTATTGCTGAGGGTCCAAACCGCGAGAACAATCGTCCGCAGGATTCAAACTTCCTGGACAGTGCTGCCATTGACTCGGATCAGTTGATTCCCGAATTTCGTTTACTCGGTTAGCTACGTATGTTTGAAATCGTTTCGTCGTGTTGCGAATATACGACAATACTATCATACTGTCCGTCCAAAAGTACGTTTCATGTATGGTTATATCGAGCTCATCTTTAATCATCTTATTCATTCGTACAGCTAATAATGCACTTTGCAATTCGAGTCTTGGAATCGTGGGTGACCGAATGGGAGCATTTCTCGACTTTCCCATGACAAACGAACAGTTAATAGTTCCGTCGCTGTAGATGATGCGTAGGTACGACACGGTACCGTATCCAATCTCTGAGGCGTCACAAAAATGGTGTAACTCGACAACAGCATCGTCATGATCTGGAAGTCGGTAGAAACAACGAGGGATGCTTATCTGAGTCATCAATGGTAAAAGTGATTTCCAATTAATCCATGATTTCAGTAGATCGTTCTCCAGGAAATCCTCCCATTTCATCTTCCTCCTCCAACACACTTGGAGAATTTGCTTGGCAGGTAAAAGAACTGGTGCAGCAAATCCCATTGGATCATAAAAGGAGGAAACACATGAAAGCACACCTCGCATGGTATTTGGTTTGTCACAAGGTTTTATCTTGAAACAAAAGGCATCATCTTCGACGTTCCAGTGGACACCCAGCGTGCGTTCAATAGGAAGTTGGTCAAGACTTAGATCTAGGTCGGGCAAGGCTCTCCTTTCAACAGGCACTGCTTCAAGAACTCTCCGACTGTTGGACATGAATTTGGTCAATTTAAAGCCTCCACGTGAAAGCAAAGACATTGAACTCTTAGCTACTTTAATAGCAATTTCTTCTTTAAAGATTTCAGCCGTTTCTCTGCCACCATTCTGTTATTGGGCAATTGAGGACAATCGTCCTTCCACAATAATTCTGTTTCATAATGTCCGTCTATAAGTTTTGTGCTTCTTTGAAGAATATTCTCGGCTCGACGATCTTCAACTGATGCAGCCTTCCTCAAATCGTTCTCCCTCAATCCTGATGTTTCGATTTCCCAAAATTTCTCTACTTGTCGATTGAGCATCTGATTGGTGGTATCAAGAAAGTTCACTGATAACTCTTTCTGACCAGCGTTAGTCGTATTCACACTACCAGCAACAGTCCAACCAAGCGCTGTTCTGGTTGCATACAGCTCACATTCCGAGGTTTCGGATACCCTAACTTCGCGCACAATATGTGCTCCCTTTACATCTTCCCCGATGATTATAGAAATACGCTTAAGTTCGACTTCAGGCATCGTTATATCAGCCAAATGCTCATATCCTTGACAGTCAATCTCATTTGGGAGAATTCTTTCATTCATATCAAGCTCCTTCACTAGTCCTTCGCTCACTTCCAATATTGGGTCAGAATCTGCGGCTTCTGCAGCCTGAAGCAAAAGGGACACTGATTCAAATTCGCATTCCTGTGTTCCAAGCACTGTTGTAACGGCGATTGACTGTTTAGTTCCTTTCACGTTCAGTTTCTCTGCCAATTTCGCATCAACTATAGTTCCACGGCTTGCATTGTCAAGTAGTCCATATGTCGTGACCGAGTTTCCATCCTTCGTTAACACTTTAACAGGTACAACGTGTAAAAGTACGTGATTTTCCTTTCCTTGCGTCATTGTCGTATAAGATGCCATCGAATCTTGTTGACTGTCCTTTCCAAATTTGGATTTGGGTGGTTCAGATCCAGCTGCCCTTTCTGGTTTCTCTTTGTCTTTCTCTGGTTGTCTTTGAGTGGTATTGGAGGATTCACGATCATTAGACTGGAATTTAGAGTTATCCTTTGGTGGCGAAATTCTTCGATGAAGGAGTGGGTGATGCTTGTAGGTAGCTTTACATTTACAAATGGTGGTTGATATACACTGGGCCTTCATGTGTCCCGACGCTAGGCATAAATGGCAAAGTTTTAAATTCTTTACGATTTCCCATCGCTCTTCAGGTGTTTTCTTAACAAAGGAGTCACAGTTTGTGAGTGAGTGTTTACCCTTGCAACACGGACAAAGGCCGGAGTTTTCGAGGTTTGTTGTCAACGTCGAGATCTGATTCTGAAGTGGTGGTTTAGGTGATGGTTTCGGTAGCCTGTTCTTGGGGTCAATTGGTTTCCTCTTTGTAGTCAAAATGTGTCCATATTGGGGATCGTTCATGATTCTGAGTTGTCTTTCTACTAGCTCTAGAACATGCTGTAATGTGGGGTGCAATTTGGTCTCATCACGAATTTTCGGAAGTTTCTTTACCCACTCTATCTGCATGTGCATTGGCAAACGATCAACAACTCTTTCAACGTTAGATGATGCATTAATTTCGTGTTTGTAATTCTCATTGTCCTTTAAGACTTCTAAACAGGAACGTAAATTATTTCTGAGCCTAGGGAGAGAGTTGTTGTCTCCCCTTTCAATGCGAGGACCCACCGTGACTCGTTTTAGGGATGCTTTGACTACGCTAGAAGGATGACCATACTGAGACTCTAATATTTTCATGGCTTGACTAAACCCGTTTGATTTCAGTTCACAATGTTCAATTGCGTCTCTAGCATCACCTTCCACGAAACTGAGAAGACGAGTTATTTTTTCTCTTTCATCAAACTCTCTTTCGTTTAACCAAACCTCCACCCGCTTCTTAAAAACAGGAAACTGAGCAGGGTCACCTCTAAATTTCATTGGCTGGGGTTTCGGAATCCCTTGCCGCTGTAACATGGCTTTCATAACAGTGGTTGTTTCGGTTCCCTGCTTCATGGCACTAACCAATTGCTGATTCATTTCGAGTAATGTAGTTGTTAAATCAGGTTTAGTTTTGTCAACGCTTGGTTTAAACTC